AAAAATTTCTTGTTTACGGGTCTGGTACAAGATTATATCTTGATTGTTGACATCTATATCGATATCTTGATTTTCATCTAAATTAACTATACTGACATTTTGATTTTCATTTGAATTAATAATTTCGATCGATATTTCTTGATTATCAACTTGAGGGTCATCATTATAGACAATTGCTTCATGAATATGAGTGACGAAAAGGGAAAACCTGTAAATCATTTCACTCATTGAGTGAATGATTTACAGGTTTTCTCTTTTCATCACTCATATAATGAGAGCAATCTAAGTTTTCAATTGCAGAATAAAGGTTTTCTGGTAAATCAGCAAAGGCATTCTTTCCAACAACGGATAAAATTCTTGACGAATTACCTTAAATAAATGTTAATTAAAATTAAATTACCATTATTAGGCCACGCAAAGTTAATTTTTTGTTTTGCATTACCTGCCGACCCATTTTTCCAAATTTTCAATTTTTTTTTTTTTTTAAGTCCCAATTGTACCAATTATTCTATTTTTGCCATTTAAATTTTTTTAAAAAATCAATCTGGTATTACCCGATAGTGACTTATTTTCCCGAAAGTATCCGAAAGAACTGACAGAAAAAAAATTCGACTGTCAACCCAATTTTCTGATTTCATGTTATAAAAAGCAAAAAAATAACTTTTTGCAACCATCAATTCACAGTTGATTAAAAAAAAAAAAAAAAAAAAAAAAAAAAATCTGACCAACCGACCAGGAATTTTGAAATCCATGTAATGCAAAATGAAAAATCAACTTTGCATAGCCTTACTGTATTAAGCAAAATAAGTTTTTTTTTTTTACCTTTCTATAAAATCCTGGTTCTATAGGACCATACATTTTAATTAAATGTTTACATATATGAAAACAGTTTAAAAGAAAACCAGTACATGAGCATATACATCATGATAAGTCTGTAATGTGGTTGGCATTTGGATTTATTATATGAGTAGCCAATTTTTTCCATTCTAATCGAAGTTCTTCACGCCATTTGGATATGCACCTATCATCATGTAGTAACTGCAAATGGTTAATTTGACATGAAATAACCTTTGTTACTATAATATAAATTATTAAATCTAATTGTGCACAATTGAAGCTCAAAAAAAAATCATGCTTCAAAACACGCCAGTGACTTTTAATAGTCATCATAGTTCGCAAAATATTAAGTTGGGAACTTGATGCACGAGCCCATAACTTCCATGCTTCAGGGTGGTACCACTCAGACCATAAATAGGCCCAAACATGTTTAAGATCATTTTGATAACAAAAAGTATATTGTTCTTTAATGCTTTTAATCCAAATTTGGTTTATATTTAACAAGTTTGGCAGGCATTTTATAGGTATCATTGGATGCCATAAAAAATGAACTTGAATAAGCTGAAGAATTTTTTTATAAAAGTTTTTTTTGCAATAAACTTTATCCCTTTCATTTAGCAATTGTTCCTGATTTGTGCAATTAATCATTGCATGACTTCGTCTATCTGGTTGCCATGTAGGATCGATAATTGAGCAAAGCGAATGTGCATTATAAGAATCATAATAATTGTGCGTAATTCCAGTGCTTGTAAGTTTTTTTTTAATTGGACAAATTACATGCCAATAATATAACTGAATCTTAGCTTCAGTCCAAATTCTACTTGCAGCTGTAAGATGTTCGTGATCTTTATCCATTAAAATTGTTTTAACATCTTGAGTTCCATTCATTTTTAAATACTGAAACCATTTAGTAATTCTATATGTTTTTCCATGCAGATATCGTAGATCAAAAAAAAAATATGATAATGGAAACCCTGAATTATCTAGAATTCCAAGAACTGCATATAGTTCAAATTTTAAACAGTTGGTACCAAATGTAGCGTCAATAACAATGTTCTAGTAACCTTATTTGAAAGTAAAAATAATAAAGGAGTTACAAATGCTAGCATATATTGATCTTGATAAAGAAGCTTGAAACTGGAATTATTTTCCAAGTATAATCGAGCTGATTCCAATTGATTGTCTGCTAACTTGTATTTTTTTACAGCCAATTTCTTAGACCAATAATAAATTTGATGCCGTGTGATATGTAAAAATCCATCAATTTTTCATTTTTGATATTTTCATAAAGTTGAGGAACTGTTAGTAAATTATTTTCAATAATATAATTGCGAATTTGAATAGAAACATCCATCATTTCAGGTGGTAAGTGAAGATAATGGTATATGCTAACCACTGCCAAATTATAAGTACGTTCATTATTAATTTGAATAGTTCCATTACATGCATACCGATCAATTCACAGCATTGTATCTCTTCTGTTAGAAATATTATCAACCTGTGGTTTTTTATTTTTTAACTCCTCACGACAATTACAATAATAAATAAATGAACTTGAATTTTTCATTATATTACACTTGTAATATACCCAAGAGAACTTATCAGCCTTTGAAATAAGTTTAATAATATGTTGTGCAACCTCTTTATCCATTGAATCTTCTAAATTTGTATCAACAATATTTAATAACAGATCTAGAATTAGAAAAATTCTTTTTTCGAAAAGATATTCAGAATCGTAGTCTTCTGAAAGTGCATTAAAAATAAAATCCACAAGGCCTTCCAGTGCTATTGCACTTGATTAGTTTTTATAATTTCATTTTGATTTTCATTATTCCTTCGTTTATTATTGGCAGAAATTTGGATATGGCAATCAATGCATGTTTTTAGTATATTGTTGTTTTTATGTTTATTGAGTTTTGTACTCTTAAAAGAATCATCTGGTTTAATGAGTTTGCAACAATCACATTTCATTTTGAAGAATTGAAGAAAAATAATCATTCGCTAAATCAATTACTTTAATGTTATTATCATTATCATGATTATAATCATGATCATAACATATCCACGTGATGTTCGAAATTTTTTTGGGTGGCGATTTTACCCTGGTTTGTGTAAGAGAACCTTGAAAAATGTCTCTGATGTGAAAAATATATTTATATATTCCATCAGGTACTGATGTCATGTCAATTGTATCTATCTATAAATAGATTATTTTAGTATCATACAGTAATTGCTAAATGAACAAATTTAAATTCTTACCTGAATGCAACAATTGGACGAATTGAAGGAATTTTCTTAAAGGATCGCCTGGTAATACAAACTTTGCACTCACGAACTGCATCTTCAACTACTTGTTGTGGGATGTAACAGTATCTAACACGAATCTTAAAATTAAATTAGTAATTTTAAATTCATTATGTAATTATTATAAAAAAAACCTAATATTTACCTTTTTCCATGTTTTATCTTGGCCGCCGTGTTCAGTTGCCTGATGTGCGGCGCAAATTATTTCGTAAAAGTTTTCAATTGTACAAACTTGTGTCCCTAAATTATTCCCGGCTTGATTGACTAAATGAAGCTCTTCAGTTGTACTGATATTAAGGATTTTGAAAGTATGTGTAACCCAATATTTAAAATTTGGGTTAGACGGAAGGTTCTGATTTTTTAAGACGTTCAAACACTCATTAAATCTATTCCTATCCATTAAACAACATTTATTTTTTCTTTGGTCAATGTAAGTTCCCAAGATTCGGTCAAAAGTTTCAGGATCCAGGAAATTATATCGTTGCGGTTCCATGGTCATTATTTAAAAATTGGAAAAAAGTAAAAGTATTATAAGTTTATTTTTTTTTCTTATTTATATTAATTTGCTAATACGTCATCAATCATTTAATCTCTGTATTGATTCTAATAATTAGAGATGCGAAATGGCTCTATCGGTTTGTATATATATTAATTATAATAAAAGCCATTAATTAATTAATAATTGATTGCATTAAGAGCCGACATAAGCTATTTTTCAATCGGTGGAGATTGAAAAATCACGTGTGTCAACTGGTAATCGACGATCAACGTAGAACAATAATATTCAAAAAAAAAATCTGGAAATAATTGTTCACTCCGTACATTCTCTGCGAATGTCCATCGTGTGATAATATTTCGACAATCTTGCAATTTTTAGCATCCGTTTAAACCAAAATGAAGAATAATTTAATCACGGAAAAAATTTGTTGCATATAATTTTTTCGGATCTTCTTTGCGATGTAGTTTTAGGCATTATTATGTATTATTGATGGCCAAGTGCAATTTTCACACAAACACGATTACCAAAATAGAACCATTAGATTTTAATATGAATGATGAAAAATTAGATCTTTTTTTGTTTAAAATAGTTGATAATATGAAGGGATTATTTAACTGTGTTAATGTGATAGTAAACAACGATAATACTGAGATGGATTATGCTGAAATTTGGCGTCTTGATTTGAAAATATGAACCCTATTAAAATCCACATTTACCCTTTTATTATGAACTCTAACCTTAACTTCTAACTTAATTCTAAACAAATAAGTTCAAATTTCAGCATCATCATATAATAATGCGTTAAATAAATAGAGCTTCGGATTCGTATTCGTTATTCGAATAAATTCGTATTCGGCGAATATTCGAATATAATTATCTAAAAATTATTCGATAAATTATTCGAATAATTTATATTTATTCGAATAAGAATTA